ATTCTAAATATTTAGTTAACCTCGAAATTAATAACCTTTTCCAACTAAGTAAATCTCTATCTTTTCAAGGAAAACATATGCACATATGTAAGCTTCTCCACCAACCATCTTGTCATTTCACCCCGTAACTGCTGTTTAACAAGAATTGTGTTACTATACAAGAAAATAGGAATATAAAACAATGCAAAATATAAATAATTAGTGGTGCAGATGTAAATGAAGCCTAGGGTGGATGGATGTTATATTTATGCAATCATAAATAATTTTTTTATTAATATACATGAGTTAATCCTAAAATATATGTATAGATTTGCCATTAACTAATACATCTTCTAATTTAAATTTTTAAACTCATAAACTTTGATAAAAAAATAATAACTTTTATATAAAGATGACAACAGGTCAGGTTGGATCAATTTTTTGTGAACCAGACTTAACCCGAAATATATATATAATGTATATTTGAATCCGACTTGAGAAGCATATTCCTTTCACCTAAACCTGACCCGACCCGATAAACATATCCCTTCCATATGAATTTGATTATATTTGAACTTTAGGGTGTGTTTGGTTCACAGAATGTAAGATTACCAGTGGGAATAAAAGATTACCATGGAATAAGATTACTGGGAATGTTGTATTTTATGTTTGGTTGGTTTAGCAGGAATGTAAGATTACCGTGTTTGGTTAAAGGAATAAAAAATTATTGGAATGTATATTTAACCAAAATGTCCTTATTATATATTTGTATAATATTATAAATTGTAAAATATTTATATATTTTCTTTAAAAAATTAAATTCATAATATTTATATAATTTTTTTACAAAATTAAAGATATAAAAAAGGTTTAATGAAAGGGTAAAAATTTTTTAACCCCTGAATTTCATATAAAATTTTAATTATAGACTTTTTTTTTTGTAAATCTAAAATAATTTAAGGATAAATTTGTAATTTAACCTTCGTAGAATTTTTATTATTCAATGACAGAAGAAGGATATATTTGAAAAAAAATAAAAATTTAAGGGCATTTTAGTCCAAAATGCCGGTAATGTTACAATACCTAAGGGAAGGGAGGTAATGGCATTCCTAGTAATATACCCCAAAAAATCTACTATTGGTAATAAAACATTACCGGGAATGAGATTCCCGGCCAACCAAACATGGGAATGTAGGATTCTCATCCCATGGGAATCTCACAATCCTTGAACCAAACACCCCCTTAGGGTAAAAACTTGCATTCAATATGACCTGACACAAATATATAAAATATATTTTTATTTGGTAAAATATTGACCTAATTAAAAAATAGAAAGTGAGGGAATCACAATAATAACACTAAATTTATAAAAAGGAAATTATACTATTACCCTAAGTTAGACCAGAGATTTTTACCGTAACCCTAACGCGATTTCACCATTTATAAATTCTAATTTAATCTGAATTCAATTTTTATTATTATTAAAAAATACATTCTCAACTGAATCGATACAAAATCTATTAAATCCTGATTAAATTATCATTCCTAACTATCTAATTATCAAATTAATATGAACCACAATTGTGTATATATGAGACAACCAAAAAGATGTAGTGAATAACGAGTGAGTCCAAGTAATAAAATTAAATCAAGTAAATGACATCACTATCGATGTATGTTTGTGTGTGTATATATATATATATATTCCAGCTTAGTTGTTGTTATTTATGTGGTAAAAAAATCCATTTGGAGAGCTTAGCATGAGCTGTTAAGCAAAGAAGCCGAACATTTCGACAAACAGGTGGCAGGCAAATTCGTCAATGTCAAGATCTCCTGGGCAGTGACGTCGCATAAGGTTAGAAGAGAAGGGGAAAACGTTTATGTCGCATCAGCTGCCGGCAGCAAAATCTCGAGTGTTGAAAGTCGAAACCTTAATTCTGCGGTGGTAGATATGCACGCAAACGCGAGTTTACCGTGTTAACTATTTTTGTTAGATTTTTGGGATACATATCACACTTTCAAGTTTCCACCACTAAGAAAACGACGTTTCAGATCAAATTATTTGTTTTCTTTTTTCCCCTAATTTCTTCTGGAAGCTATTGTTATATATATCATGCGATTGAAAGTATATATTTAGAGTTTATTTTTCTATATTAATGATCTTTTAAAAATCAAAATTAATTAAGTTAATAAAAATTAAATTACAGATTTTTTCGTACAATTGCAAAAACATATATCTAAAGACTATAACTAGAATTGATTAATACAAAATACCATTTAACAAAAAAAATTAAATTTAAATTTAAGATCTTAAAATTATATAAATAATTACTTCATTTATAAAATTTCAGCGAAAAGTTCACAAATTAATGATAACTTTGAATGTAATGAAAATAAAGAAAAGGACTCCCCACTATTGACTTTGCATAATAGGCTTTAATTGAGCAAGAAATCACAAATAAAATTTCTTGTGAAAAACATGCATGAGAGTGACTACCACCTAATATTATAAAGATAAAATTATATAACTTTAAATTTTACAATTATACTGTAATTTTAATTAATATATAATTTATTGTAGTATATAAATTTTGATTTTTTTCTATTATATATATGATTTTTATTTTTATTTAGATTTTAGAAATGAATGATATTCTATTAAGGTGACATCATTTTAAATTCATATATTACATATATAAAAATATATTTACTTCCAAATACAATAACTTTTCTAAATATGTATATTTAAATCAAAATTAAAATTTTTATACAGGATTTCATCACATCAAAACTTACATTATGCCAAAATTCGTATATAATTCATAAATTTATTACAAAACTATTACTTTCGACAGCTGTTAAAAGCGTTTGTGGAATTAATTATATCAAAATGAAATTGAACTTGAAACTAGGAAAATTCTAAAATAATTGTTATATATTGAAACTAGGAAAATTCATATATAATTCATAAATTTATAAAATGAGCACAACATTATTATTTGTCATTAAAGATGTGATGTACCACGTTAAAGTAATAGAAAATATCTCATTTCACCCTCCAATTGTACTAAGATTTCATTTTACTATTAATATTAATTAAAATAATTTCTATTAGGTCCGTTAAATTGAAAACAAAATAGATAAAAATAATTTAAATAATAATTTTTAATTTCATATTATAAATATTGAATTTATATCGTATAAATAACTTGATATTTTCTTTCGCTTTTTTAAGTTTGAATGTATTTTTCTTATTAATCTCATACTATAATTTTTTGGATTTTTTATTTTTAAATTATGTTTAAACTTTTTAAAAAAAAAGTTAAATGCTTGAATCACATCACTTAATAAAAATAATTTCATTTTTTTGATAATTAAATTTTTAGATCTTAAAAGTTATAAATTTTACAAACACAACAATAATTAAATAAAGAATATTTGACTAGTGATACATGTTTTTTAATGTAACTTTAAAAATGTAATAACAAATATAATAATTTTTTTTTAAAAAATAGAATAATCATTTTTAAATTATTTTATATTAATAGTGCACATCAGTACATGTTATTAGTGACTAATATCAATGTGTGAAATCAACTCTAGACTCATCCTTAAAACTAATATTGTCAAGATTGAATTAAACTTCTGATATCATGTTACTAACAGAAAAGAAGTTTTACATATAATTGAACCGCACACGTGTAATTTGAGTCAGATGATGAGAGTCACACGTGCTGAACCCAATCAATTGGTTCCAAAGAATCATGCGATGGTGATCATAAAATCAAGTTGTATATTCAAACCTCATCATACAAAGTGAAACATGCAATTATTATTTACCCACTCTTAAACTTTTATAAATACAATATAAGCTTTTGGAATATATATATTAAAAATTTGCATGTATGGTTGCATGCACATGTACCATATCCAATAAATAGGATATGCCAAAATTTATACACCAAAAAGAAGTGGGTTTTTATAATAATATAAAGTTCGAGAATTGAGGACTATAGTTCCAAAGCAGAGGGGAAGAATTTTACTTTAAACTCGAATTCTAAATAGAACAACTCATATTAATATAGTATTGTTTATGAAATATTTTCTCCACCGTCTAAAATAATAATCCTATGATTATAATATAATGTATTACCTTAAATTCTTCACAAAAAAATAATGTATTAACTTAAATTATACCATAAAATATGATTACACAGAATGACATAGTGTAGCTTTGGAGTATCCTTTTGTGAGTGTGTGTGGTTCATCACATCCGTATCTTGGAAAGCAAAGGAATTCCATTTTAAAGCATCGGGATTGGAGGAATCTTTTCAAATTCCTCTCCCACATTCACCTTATAGCTAAAATATTAAAAGGAAAAAACAAAAAAAGAGGCCACCGAAAAGCAATAACACCTTATCATGAATGATATGAAAATTGATTAGACTGCCCCAACTCCAACCCACAACTTATTCACCCACACGCCACTACCCTAAAATGAAAATCACCCTAATACGGTGATGATAATAGTACAGGTAAATAAGATGCATGAATAACTTATCTCATAAATTAAATGAATCATTATTATTCTTAGAGGTCATAGATTCGAATAGTAGTGACTGTAACAAGGTGATTAAATATTCTTTGTCAAATAGTTGAGAGTATTTAGATAAAAAATATAGTAAAGTGAGGTGAATGTATGAGTGATTTTAATATTTAAAGAGGATATTATTTTAAAAAAAATTGATTTATGTGATCATATTTTTAGAATGTATGTGTATTATGAATAAATTAAAAAAATATTATATCCTTATAATTATTCCATTTAAATTATGGTAAATTTTTTCACATTACACTTAAACTTTTCTTTTTTGGGGATTTTAAAATATGGGAAATCACAAGTCAACCTCACCTCATCATTCGGTCTGGGTTCTTCAATGCACCACCTCATATCCCACTTTCTTTTTTGTTTTTCTTCTTTCTTTTTTGTTTTTCTTAATTTAGTTTAATTTAATCTTCTATATAATTCACCACTCTCCATAATTCACACCTTCAACATGGGAAACATGAAGGTGCATCAATTGGGTCGTGGATTCTGGGAGCAACAAGAGCCATTACTCTCACTTGGCTGCAAGCGTTTACGCCCTCTTGCTCCTAAGCTCCACTCCAACTTCACTGATACAACCACCACCGTCTCCTCTTTCGACCTCAAGAGCTTCATTCGGCCCGATAGCGGCCCTCGGAAACTCGGCAATGCCCCCTCCAACGAAAACCGCCATTCTCCTCCGGTACTACTTAATCATTTCATCTACTGTGAACACGGCTGCTGGATTGATTCTTTTTATTGAAAGAAGTTTACTGTATGATATGTAGGTGGAAACGCACCCGGGAGGTACGCGTTGGAACCCGACGCAAGAGCAGATAGGGATACTGGAGATGCTGTATCGAGGAGGGATGCGAACCCCGAACGCACAACAAATAGAACAAATCACCGAGCAGCTCGGCAAGTACGGCAAGATCGAAGGCAAGAACGTGTTCTACTGGTTCCAAAACCACAAAGCACGAGAGAGACAAAAGCAGAAGCGAAACAGCCTTGGCCTTGGCCATTGTCCCAGAAAATCAGCTCCCATTTCTCCCTTAACTTGGGATACTAGGGTTAGTTTTCCCAGAAACCTAATCCCATTGATTTTTTATTCTGTATTAGGGTTAGTTTTGTTTTCCTTATATGAAGCTAACTATGGTGCATTGTAGGTGGAAATAATTACGGATAGAGAAGAGGATAGTCCGTATAAGAGGAAGTGCAGAAGCTGGTCATTCGAGGAAGAAGAAATAAGCAGATCGTCGAGTAAAGAAGATGAAAACAGAACTCTGGAGCTCTTCCCATTGCACCCGGAAAGAAGATGAAGAGGTTTCAAATAACCAAAAAAAAAGCTGCTTTAATGAATGATGATGATGGTGTTGTAGCTTCTTTTTTTTTCTGTTCTTCTTTTTGTTGCAGCAGGAAAGAAGAAAGACACAAAGCTGTGTTGTTGTACTCTAATGGCTTATTTAATCCCTGACTTGAAAACCCAAATTTGTTTACTCTCTTTATTTATTCTCTGATAATCATCATCAGTTAATATGAAGGATCGATCTTGTTCTGATTATGGGATCAACATAATAACTTGTTGAAAAAGAAGTATCGATCTCCTTCTACCATTATTCATCACTACAGGCTTGGCTCCTATGAAGCTTAGATGTTAATATTGTAATTGGGTTTTCTTTTCTTTTTTTCAAAGTTGAAAAAGATCCGTGGAAGGCAGCCACAAAGGAAAAGTAGGTGGGACGTGAGTCTTGTTGAAATAATTAAAGGCAAATGTGTGATTTTATCTTTGTTATGATTCCACATTCCATTGCTTGGAAGACTTCTATAAAGTTGCAATTATATCTATCTAATTAATCGACCAAGGAAATTGACACATTAGGGCCGAAATTATGCTTTAACTTGAAGATATTTTTCTTTTACATTCCTAATAAAAATGTTGTTTTTAAAGGATTTAAATTCGAACAATTACAATACATTCATTGTTAATAGATTAAAAAATTATAAACAGATAATATCTTTCAGTTGTCTCATATTATTAAAAAGTAATTATATTATGTCTTTCTAAATTAATATTCTAACTCTATCCATAGACATATTATATATTTTCTAAGATATTTAAATTGCATAAAAGAATCATTTACTATGCATTTATTTTAATTTAGTCCCTCAATGAATTGATAATTTATAGTTTTTATTTCTAAAATTTGTACTTTTAATATTAAGATAAGCATTTTTTATTAATCCCATCAAATATTTTGATTAACTAATTTTTATATACATATTAGGGTGTGACATATAATCGCTATTTATTATTGTATAATTGATTTTATTTGCATGTTTAAAAAAATTAAGAAGAGTGAATTGGGACGAGGCACATCCCTTAAGTAAGGTCAGGAGTTCGAAACTTAACGTTGCATAGAGCAAACAGGGTTAAAAGGATCATTCTTATCTCTACAGTACCTAATCTAGATTAATCGATCAATAAATCGAATACTAGTGATTAATTAAAAAAAGAAAAGATTATTTGTTTAATCGTGAAATATTATTAAGATTTATATACCATCATGTGTTTTAATAAATAGACGGCATCAAATTCTTTGACGAAATTAATAAAATGCAAGTTGATTTCATAACTAAAAATAAACACATTTCAAAACTATAGAAAATTAATAATTAAATTATTGCAGAAGAGCGGAATCTATCATATACGTATAATAATTAATACAAAAACTTTCTATACATTTAACACCATTTTAATATGTTTTATTTTGTAACTAGACACGAGTGATGAATTGATTCCATTAGTAATTAGTTTCGTCAACACAATACCTATTCTAAAATAATCCTCTTAATTAAGTTTGGTTTTATAGATTAACTCATTTTTTTAAATAATTTATACTTAGGTAGAGAAAAAGAGAATTTTTATTCATAATCAATATTGAACCCGCAATTTAAAAGAGAATAAATATCAATTGAAAGTTTTTAACCAATTATTTTAGAACTTGTTGACATAAATTATGTCATTTTTAACAACAAAAGGTTTTCAATTTTATATATTTTTATTCAATATCATTTTTCTATTTTCACCCATGTATATTAATTTTAAAACTCGTTTACCGTAAAATCTCTATAAATTAATAATGTCATGACCACATAATTTTATTGATTCAAAAAGGTATTAATTAATTGATAAATTAATATTATTAATTTAAAGAGATTTTTTTCGATTAAACGAACTTACATTATTCTTCATGAATAAAATATATACATCATATTGATTAGTTGAATGATGTCCATGTATAGTGTGATAATGATTAATGGATTGTGTACCACAACAAAATAAATGTCAAACATCAATTGGATTACTTGGTTGAAAATCTTATTGAAGATGAAACTGAAGATGATACAATGTCTTTGCAACCAATTACGCAGGAGGAAACACTAATAGTGATATTATAATTTTTTGTTGCAGTATGATAATACAATACCGAAGCTTTTGGATGCGGTAAGGAAAGTTTGAGATGCAATACAATTAGATTTAAATTTTAAGAAGAACCAAACAACAATAGAATCATGTTTTATTAAGTTGTACTAGTTATATCCGTAATGTTGTAGAATTTTTAATATATAGTATTGAAGGAATCATAAATTTATATAAGGGCATTCCGGAAAATTATTGTCTTATTAATTTATCAAAATTTTTAATTTAGACCTTGGGTCCAAGTCAAGATAGATAAAATATTATTATTTTAGAGAGATCTTTAATTTATCGGGTTTCAACTGTAATTATTATTACAAATCAATTAACAGAAAATACCCAGTTTTATACTCGGACCTTGGCCAAACAAAACCCGACCTGTACATCTTATGTTAATATATTCGGATGTTGGCCCAACTACACTCTTGATGCGGGTTGGCAGTTTTGAGTCCAATTTTCGTGGGTTAAAAAATGACATAGATTAAACAGTTAGTAAAATATTATTAACTCAAACAGTAATATCGACAAGATTTTAGTTTTACATATTTTTTTTTAAATTTATCTGAATTAATTTTTATTTCACACATTTTAACTGAAAAACTCAAATTGAACCAGGATGATAAAATATGACTTGTTAATTTGATTAGATATTTATCATTGAATTAAACTATGAAAAATTAATTATAAAAATTAAAATTTCAATGTCAAATAAATTTAAAACCAAACTCTAAAATTAATTAGTCAAATCTCAACCCCTAAAATGTAGATTTGATATTATCCTAACGATATTTTTCATTTAAAAATCAATAAACCAAGGAAAAGCTACATATTTTCCGGAAAATTTTAGATATTATTTATCGGAAAAATACAGATATTTTTATTTTAAAATAGAGAATAGTGTCTAATAATGATAGGCTAAACATATTTATAAGACCAATTAACGAGAGAGAGAGAGAGAAGGTTAAGCCAAATACTACATGCATTGCGCGAAATAACAGAGTTTGTTTTGATAATTTTATAGGTAATTTAAGATATATATTATATTTTAAATCTTTTTACAGATCGTTTTAAGAAATCGTTCGAAAAATTTAAAAATATTTTAATGATAATTTGTAGGAGATATTCGGATAAATAATAGAAAATTATTATTATATCATTCAATTAGTTTGATATTTTATTTAGATTTGATGTTTCAATTCTTTTCAAACCATTTAGGTGTATAGGCTTGAACATATTTATTTCAATAATTAATTAAGTCACGAGACATGGTATTTAATGTCACAATCAATATTTAATAAGTCAATGTTATTTGACACTGTTAAATGACATTTGTTTTCTAAAATATAACGTGTTATTTTAACACTCTATTTCTGAGTTCATAAAATAATTAAAAATATACGAATATGATGACGTAAGAAAACAGAGAAAAGAGGGGATGAAGCCAAATTGGGGAAGAAGCTTTCCGTAACTGTTGACGGCTGACACCGCCACGTGTAATTTGACTGGCCCATTGTCACGCAATCACCTGATTTTGTCAGACGGCTAAGATTTCGTTTCCATGTAACAGATCCGACGGCGGAGATCAACCTTTATGAACTGCTTTACCTATAAAAACGACACAGTTCCTTCTTCAACGGTGCGGTGCAGTTACTCTGCCCTCCCTTCTTCCCCCTACACTTTCATAGTTCTTAGTAATTATAAAATATTTGGAAAAAAAATCCTATTTTTTCCTCAAAAAAATCTCTTAAACTCTCCGTCGGCGTTATCTTCCGTCCGGTTCTCCTCCGGATTTCCGACGATTCTATCCCCATTTTATCCCTCCCTATCCTCTTTAGTACCAAAAATATCCCGCATATTTTTATCTGTTTGTTTCGCTAGAGTTTCCATTTAATAGCAATAGGAGAGGTAAACAAAAACAAGGAAGAAAATCATAAAAAAGGAGTAGGATCTTAGGAGAGTCAGGGTTAAGTTTTATCGAGGATGGCGCAGATTCAGGTTCCGCAACAGGCACCGGTTTCCGGTCCAAACGGCGTCGCTCCGGGATCCGGAGGAGCGCAATTCATGCTCACATCTCTCTATGTCGGCGATCTTGATGTTACTGTCACCGATGAGCAGCTTTACCAACTGTTTAGCCAGGCGGCTCCGGTTGCTTCAGTGAGGGTTTGCCGGGACTTGGCCACCGGCCGCTCTCTTGGCTATGGCTATGTCAATTATAACAACCTTCGTGATGGTTAGACTTATACTTCACTTTCAAAGATTTATCCTTTGTTAAGTGATTTAGTAATCTAGGGCTGCTTGGAGTAATTAGTTTGATTGCGAATTCTTCTATAATATTGAATATAAATGATTGAATTTTGACAAGTTTTATGATCCATGTATTAAAATTTGTTGGATGCTATTGAATGGATCCGCTCTCTAGACATTAGTTAAGGATTAATTTATTATTTTTACAATGCGTTTCTGGTAATACATTTTGGATTTAAAAAAAGTCCTGCATTTATGACATATTTTGACTGCTGATTCCATCACTAAATTAATTTAATTGCAGTTTGCTGATTTCCACTTGTAATTGGTAATGTCTTCAATAAGTGTGAATATAATTGAAGTCGAAGTACTGACTTTAGATTGTATGGAATTGTACAAATTGCGCGCTATTGTATATATGAGAGAGTATCATTCTGATGATTTCGAGTTTTGGCTTTTGACTTTTTTTTATCACTTCTGCCTAGCATTTCATTGAGTTGCTCGAACTCTTTAAAAAATAAATGAAGCTTCATGATTTGTTTTTCTGAATTTTTGATGTTCATATTTTAGATAATTATCATATGGGGAATCTGTTCTTTCTTTGAAATTCTTCAAGTTAATTGACGGTGCCTTTCTTTTATTCTTGCCTGCAGCGGCTAGGGCAGTGGATTTACTGAATTTCACTCCGCTGAATAATAAGTCCATCCGTGTCATGTATTCTCAGCGTGATCCTAGTCTTCGTAAGACTGGTACCGCAAACATATTTATTAAGGTATTAGTGTGTTTCCAGTATCTCCTCTTTTCTTCTATTTGAATTGCTATTCCAGTCTTACTGATTTTTCTCTTCTTAAATCAGAGGAATGGTAATTTTGGTTGAATGTTCCTATGCCTTTTAGAGGTGTTGCTCCTGCTTGTTTATTCTCTAGCCCTGCATGCCAAATTTTCATGCAAATATATTTGCAAATGATCATATCTTTTGTCTTCCCGTGGTCTATATGCTGCAATTATTTACATCATGCATAATTTCTCTGTTGAAAAATGTTATGATTGGCTTTTTATATTTACCTATACCTTTGATTTTTGGTTTGATTGCAGAATCTGGACAAGTCTATCGATCACAAAGCATTACATGATACATTTTCTTCATTTGGCAACATTCTTTCGTGCAAGATATCTACTGATAGTTTTGGCCAGTCTAAAGGCTATGGTTTTGTACAATTTGACAATGAAGAATCTGCTCAAAATGCGATCGACAAATTAAATGGCATGTTGATTAATGACAAGCAGGTCTATGTTGGACGTTTCCTTAGAAAGCAGGAAAGAGAGACTGCGTTGAATAAGGCCAAATTCAATAATGTTTATGTGAAAAATCTTTCCAAGTCTACAACAGATGAAGATCTGAAAACAATTTTTGGAGAGTATGGCAAAATTACTAGTGCTGTAGTTATGAGGGATGCAGATGGGAAATCAAAGTGTTTTGGATTTGTCAACTTTGAAAATGCTGATGATGCTGCTAAAGCTGTTGAAGCTCTTAATGGAAAGAAATTTGAAGACAAAGAGTGGTATGTTGGAAAAGCACAGAAAAAATATGAAAGAGAGCATGAGCTAAAAGCTCAATTTGAGCAAACAATGAAGGAAGCTGCAGATAAATCTCAGGGTGCAAATTTATACATTAAGAACTTAGATGATAGTATTGGTGATGAAATGTTGAAGGAACTTTTTTCTGAGTTTGGAACCATTACTTCATGCAAGGTTTGGAATGCTTCTAGATTGTTTGATTGTTGATGCTAACTATTGTACTCTTGTTTCTCTTGATATATGTTATTGCCCAATTGTCCCTCAAAATTTTACAGGTTATGCGTGACCCTAGTGGAATTAGTAAGGGCTCTGGGTTTGTTGCATTTTCGACTCCTGAAGAAGCCTCTGGTGCTGTAAGTTTGAATTCTTTCTTTATTTGGTTGGTCATTCCAATATGAGATTGTTATCTAAAACATGTTTCTATCCATCTACAGCTTGCTGAGATGAATGGCAAAATGGTTGTTAGCAAACCGCTTTATGTTGCAGTGGCACAAAGGAAAGAAGAGAGAAGAGCAAGGCTACAGGTAACACAAGCAAGGATAATTTCTTAGACTACAATTTTGTGGTGTTATTTGTGCATACTTTCATTTTGACATTTTTTTTAAGGGACACGTCTTGATACTTCTGAAATTCTTGTCAAATTCATGTTATCAACCGTTGAAAATTGTTTCTAATAGTTCTATGGATCAATTTGAATTTAATTTGTCATTTTCTCCATATGTCTATCATTTCAGGCTCAGTTTTCTCAAATGAGACCGCTTAACCCTTCAGTTGCTCCTCGTATGCCAATGTACCCTCCTGGTGCTCCAGGATTTGGCCAACAATTTTTATATGGTCAAGCACCTCCTGCCATGCTTCCTCCACAAGTAATATATCTTTAGTCCTTGTCAATCCTCTTAACTCTACATGCTTGTTCTTTTAGATGCTTGGATGATTTGTTAGTATTATGTGCCTACCTTTATTGGTTTCAATCATGTAACTCAGTTTGATAGGGGAGATTTGAAAGTGAAATTGTTTGTTTCTTATGTTACTATTCTAGGCTAGTTTTGGTTATCAGCAGCAACTGCTTCCTGGAATGAGGCCTGGTGGCCCCCCTGTACCAAACTTCTTTGTTCCCATGGTACAGCAAGGTCAGCAGGGCCAGCGCCCAGGTGGACGACGAGGAACTGGTGCTGTCCAACAGAATCAGCAACCAATGCCATTGATTCAGCAGCAGGTTAGCCTTATGCATGTGCAGTAGCACGTATCTTATACTTATGATTTGGCTTTCTTGTTCTAATTCTTCCAAAATGTTCCAGATGATGCCTAGGGGACGTGCCTATCGCTATCCCCCTGGTCATAACATGCCTGAAGTCCCTCTGTCTAATGTTGGTGGAGGCATGCTTTCTGTTCCATATGACATGGGTGGCATGCCCTTGCGAGATGCTGGCATCGGACAGCATATGCCAATTCCAGCTTTGGCTACAGCTCTTGCAAATGCGACACCTGAACAGCAAAGGACGGTAAGCCCTGTTGTTTTCTTTGACAATTGGGATTGACTTCGGTTTATTTTTATTTAGCTTAAGAGATGTTTGTGTTTTCAATTTGTTGATGGTGAGCAGATGCTAGGTGAAAGCTTGTACCCCCTTGTTGAACGGCTTGAGCGGGATGCAGCAGCCAAGGTTACAGGCATGCTTCTGGAGATGGACCAAACTGAGGTTTTGCATCTCCTTGAATCCCCAGAAGCCTTGAAGGCTAAAGTAGCTGAAGCCATGGAGGTGTTGAGGAGTGTTGCTGCCCAGCAGCAGGCCAACAATCCAGCCGACCATCTGGCTTCACTATCCCTGAACGATAACCTCGTTTCTTGAATGGCTGAGGATTTGGGGTCTAATTTTCTTGGCAGGGACGTGGCTTGACCTCTTTTATCAGAACTGGGCTATCTTCAGTTTATTATTAGGGTTGATGTTTGGAACTCTTATCTATGCTTTGTTTTTGTCGGTTGTTAGGGCTTCTGATACTTGCTAGACATGGTTTGTTTTGGTTTGGCCTTTAAGTTTTTTAAACTGGTTTGTTATGGATATTATAAGTTTGTCTGATGCATTAAAATTTGCATTTAGACTGAATCTCGTGGTTATTAATTTTGACCTGTCTAATGGTCGAGCTATCCCTCTATCTCGGTAAACATGGGCTTCAAAAGCCGATTGAGTTTGTAAGCTCGGCTTGAATAAAGCAGACTTTGTTCAAGGTAGGTTATGCCACAGTTTTGTTTTTGTTTGGCCAGCTTGACTGTGTTTGATTTGGTAGCTTGGTTCCGTTTGGATGGAGTTTAATTCAAGATTAATTGGATTTATTAATTTGAGTCGTCTAGACTTTGGATAATTAAGTCAATATTTTCTAATTAAGGGCCGACATGGGTCATAAACATCTCTGATTCTTGTTCTTCGAGTTGTTCTCAAATGTTCTGGTCAGGTTAAAGCCCAATTTTAAGAAGAAATGGTGCGTTTACATTATCTATGGTCCAGGAATCTACATTTTCTTAGCAGTTGTCACTTTAGAATTCAAAGTTCTTCTTGAGTTAACAATTTTCAATAGAATTTACTTGTTAAATTTACATATTAAATGATGTGTTCAGATACATGTAAATTAAGTAAAAAGTATAATAAATATTAATAAAAGTCATATATGACAAAAGCAATACTATAAATTATGTACTAATTTTCTTTAAAATAATTAAGATTTCCCCCGGGTAGAGACGTTTGTTCCTATGTCTTTTCTCGTATGTGGTTGGTAATTAATAATCTCTTTATCCCAAGGCCACGTTTCCACTTGCTGAATCTATCGGTCTCCTGTAGGGAATACAACATCAAATTGTCTCAGGAAAGGCGGGTTAATATACAGCTAATATACGATATTACCGGATACATTAAAATGTATTTAATAAATTCGGTTTAGCGGTACCTATTATGTTGACAACTAATAATGTTTTAGGTAGAAAATATGAAAAACTATTAAAAAATTTGGTAACCGGTAAACTTTGGTTATCGGTAAGTATCTATCATTTTTATAAAAATGTCCATACTTTTAACATATCAAGTAAATTTTACCGGTTTTGTCATAATGAATCTGGTTTTGTCATATTTTTACATGTTATATTGTAAAGTATTTATCCTTTATATAAAAGTGTCCATACTTATTTCACTGTGAAAATATATTTATTATTATCTTTGGTTAATATTGTTAAATTTAAATTCTAAATAATATTTTATAAAATATCAAAACAATTAAATAATTTTTTGTGTAAATGAAATTATTAAATTAATATTGTAGGTGGAAAACATGAAACACTATTAAAAAAATTGAAACATAAATTACATAACTTTAGAAAAAAGTATATATCATTTTTATAAAAGTGTCCATACTTATTTCACTGTGGAAAATATATTATTATTATATTTGGTTAATATTGTTAAATTTAAATTCTAAATAATATTTTATAAAATATCAAAAACAATCAAATAATTTTTTGTGTAAATGAAATTATTAAATTAATATTGTAGGTGGAAAACATGAAACACTATTAAAAAATTGAAACATAAATTACATAACTTTAAAAAAAGTATATATCATTTTTATAAAAGTGTCTATACTTATAAAAGTAGGTCTAAGTCATGAAGAAATATTAAAAAATTGTGCTACCGGTTCGTGTCGATCCAAATTAAAAATGTGTCGATCCAAAACGATATAACAGGTAAAACTATGACAAAACCGGTATAGAAATGATAAAACCGGTAAAGCGCTACCGGATACATTTAAAGTGTCGGTACTTTAATATAAGGATCGACACTTCGTGAATTTAAAAGAGAAGCAGTTTTAAATCCTATAAAGTGTCGATACTTTTAAAAAATGTATCGATCCAGTACGATATACCAGGTAACAAAATGATAAAACCGGTAAAACGTTACCTGATATATTGAACGTGTCGATACTTTATATAAGGATCGACACTTTGTGAATTTAAAAGAGAAGCAGTTTTAGCGCCTATAATGTGTCGATACTTTAAAAAAATATATCGATCCACAACGATATAACATGTGAAAATATGATAAAACCGGTATCAAAATAATAAAACCGGTAAAATGATATCGGATATATTGAAAGTGTCGATACTTTCGTAAGTACGTGTAATAAATTATCGACACTTTCAAAGAAATAGGTAATTATCCTTTCGAAAGTATCGACACCTGACATAAAAGTATCGACACTTTTGTATTTGTATCGATTAAATATAAATAACATATCCGATGAAAATATAAGCTAAATATCCTCTGAAAATATATAGAACGGACGAGTTTTTGAAATCGAAGCGTAATTGTTGCTGCATTTCAGAAGGCGTTTCTAAAGCGAAGTTTGTTTGTTTGTTGCTGCAGTCGAATCGAAAAGTATGTTGTCGAAACCCTAGTTTTTTATTATTACAGTAATCGCGATAGGGTTTTTATGTGTTGTTTGGGGTTTTGGAGTAAAGAAGCATTTGGGACCGATTGCAGGTAGAAAGTGATATTCAAGGAAAAATATAAATGTCGATACTTTTATTAAATATTATAGGTAGAAAATGATATTATAGGTTGTATAAATGTGCCGACACATTTTGGTGTGGCCATTCAAATTCTTTTGAAGAAAACCGTTTTACCACAAGAGTAGTTATCTATATTTGTATATTGAATAAAGTGTATGTAACAAAATAATTTGATTTGCGTAAACTGATATATGAAGGAAAAATGGAGTCAATGGGTTGGAAAATTGTTGGTGGAGCAGATGACTTTGAAATTGAGGCCGAGACTCGAAAGCAACCAAAGGGTGGATATATGTACTTCTAGTAAGTATCAATGTCTTTTTGTTATTATTGTTGAAATGGTAATTGGATTAAAGTATCGATAAACTTTAAATTGATTACAAATTTTAAATGTTGACAGTATGGTCGAATGCAAAAGGATGAAGGAAGATGGCACACAGAGCGGTTCGGTATGTAAAATGAAATTGACATTGAGTAGTATTTAGTGTTAATGTATTGATTAAGAAACGTTTATGTTTTATATTAGGTGACAAAATATGTGAGGTCCAAATGGAATTCAATGAGTGATGCTGAAAAGGAATCTTACATCACACAGTCAAGGAATGATAGTAAAGAATACAAAGAACGGAGGAATGCACATGAAAATAAGGTATTCATTAAACTTGTAAATACTTTGATACAAAATATATAAGAACTATAACATTATATATTGTTAAAAAATGTAGGGAGTGTCGACAAGATGCAGCATTAAAAGGGTGAATTTATTAATTAAACACCTTAAGGAGAAGGGTCAGTTGAATGTGCTGGGAGAAATAGGTTTTGGATCGTTGGTAGGAGTAAGGGATCGACCTATTCGGAGGGAATTGTGTCGATCCTTGATGGCGTAATTTGATGTCAGACAATGTATTGCTAAATATGGTAATTTTTCATTTCCTCTCGGGATCCCATGTGCTGCAGCCGTATTGGGGGTAGAAAATGAAGGCAAAAGTGTTGTAGAACTCTGTAAGAGTAAGGACTGGAAAGCACTTGCCTCCAAATATGGTTTGAAGAATAAGGTGACATATGCTGAAATTGAAGAGGAAATAAAAAGTGGATCTTACGTTGGGGATGAGCTGAAGGCCAGAGTTCTATTATACCTTGTCGGTATCTTTCTTTGTCCAACGGGTAATACGTCAACGAACAAAGAACATATGAAGCTCATTTGTGATGAAGGCTTGAAGGGTGAATTCAATTGGGCTGAATATATCCATTCGAGATTGATTGAATCAATAATCACCTTTAAAAAGGGCAGCCAGAGATACCTCAAAGGGTGCATAGCAATCTTAGAGGTAAATGAGTTGAAGAACTTTTTGTAAGTTTTTATATAAAAATATAAATTTTATTATAAATGCAGGTTGCACTGTTCGATTTTTGGTCGGGCTGTGAGGCAGTGCTGGCTTATGAAAGAACCGGAGTGGCACGCATCCGTGCATGGGGGAAGGAAGAGGTGGTTAGAGTGATGGTGAAGTTAAAGTTGGATAGAGCGAAGAAGCAAGAAAGGGTAATAAATGTAATTAAATAATATTAAGAATATAATCAATGTCTTAATATTGTAATTTAATTTTGAAGGTTATTGGCAAGGATGTAGAGGAGGCAGTGGAGGCAGAGGAGAAGAAAGGAGGGATGGTTGTATTGGGGGATGACGGTGAGTGGGACGACGGTGAGGGAAAACAGAGTAACTTCGACATTTTGATGTCTGAATTGGCTGATATAAAAAAAATCCAATTTGAAATCATGCAAAGACAATCAAGAGTCGAAGAGAAACTTGATAGAGTCGAAGAGAAACTTGAGAGAGTCGAAGATACACTTGAGAGGCATAAGGGGGTAGTGGAAGGAAAAATAGATGGAGTGGTGAAAGAAGTAGAGGTGTTGAGGGGTGAAGTGGTGAAAGAAGTTGGGGTGTTAAGGGGTGATATTAAGATGGTGACGGGTGAAAAATTTGAGGGAGTGGTGAAGGAGGTTGTGGAATTGAGGAGTGAACTTACGGGGGTAAAGGGGGTGGTTGATAAATACTTGGATGAAGGATATCAATTGAAGGGTGAAATAAAAGAGATGAAGAGCTATGTAGAAAAAAAATACGATGAACTAAAAAATATGAAGAAGAAAAGAGGGAGGAGGAAAAAGAAGAGATGGAAGAAATGAGGAGGAAGGAAGTCGATGTCATTTATACACCGGAGAGTGTTATAGCAGTAGATTTGGATTCGGAATGTCCTGCACCCCAGAAGAAGAAACAGAAGGTAAGTTGAATAAAAGAAAACTTAATTTGATTTTTATTATGTTGTTGTGACAAAAATTTGTATGCAAAATTGTAGGTTGAAAAAGCGGATATTCCAAGCGGAATTGATGACATCGAAGCTGCAATTTGTGATTATTTATGGAATAGTGAGTTAGAATCGGAGTAAGTGAAATATATTGCTTTGTGAGTTATATTTAAATATTTCATGACAACATATTAATCCTAATGATTCATACATATATTCTGTAATCTTAATGGGAAATCAATTCGC